TGTAACTGGAAAACCTGGCTATTCTCCAATTTAACTTTTATTTTACTACTCTAGGAGAGAAGGGAGGGAGGGACTGTGTGAAAGGGTTTTAGGGAAGGAAGTAAGAAGGAAAAGATTAAGATAAGAGGGAGTTAAGGTAGAAGGGAAAGGGAGCAGGAAGGGATGAAGGAAGGAAGGAAATAAACCAGTATGTGTTGACTTTCATGAAGTCATAAGAAACTAATCTCAGTGAAAATCATGGGAAATAGACTCCATGCATTTAGGCATATGAATAAACCATTATACAAGCCAATTAATTTCTAGGAAAATGAAATGTACTAAGTCATATCAAATTCACTGAAAATAAATTGAAGTATCATCTGTAATAATAAGAAGCAATTGCTACTCATATGAACCCCAAGCCCTAGGAAATTAGGCAAATTTCCTTGTAATTAGTAGGAACCTTTTTAAGTAACTAGATACATGATCAATGGATCTGTCTATCTATCTGTCTGTCTATCTATCTATAATTATATTAATACCAATACACTATTATGTATTGCATTTTCTTACAAATTACCCAGTTTCCTATAAGGTAAAATTTGATAAATGACCAAGACTTATTTGTATAGTTTTTAAGGGTCTGTTAATTCTAGAAAAATATGCAAAATAGAACATTACATTGATGAGATTTAAATAATCTTATTAAATTTATAGGAAATACTGTCTATACATCTTTGTATCTCATATTACTTACTGTAATTTTTTATTAAAAATATATTTGGTACATAACTTTCTAGTGAAGATTGGAAATTAGTGGGGTTCCCTCTTTCCAACCATAATAAAAAAATGTAAAATGTGCATTCAAGTTAAGAGCTATTACATTATCAGAAATATTTCTCAAATGCTGCAATTCTCCATATAATCCAAAATTTTGTGACAAATACAGGATAAGACTTTGTTTCAGAAAAAGATAAATTCTACTGAAATTGTTATGAAGACATAAAATGGATTAGGCACTATGTCTTAGATGGGAAACATGCATCAATACTTATAAATGTGATTCCTTTGATAAGACCTCCTTATTTAATGCTTATAAAATTTAGTCTTTCCTGATGAATCTGAACACTGAAAGTGTAATGTGATTTCAAATAAACTATTATGAGAAACATTAATTAGAAATTTAAATATTTCAAAATATATGTTAATACTGTAACTAAATATTTCATTTCACTATTTGACCTAGTAAAACAGGTCAACCATTTGACATATGGTATTTGACACTGTAACAGATCACTTTGCTTCCAAAGAGCAATAAATTAAAACAGTCAAAATTTAGCATGAAATTTTGTGCTATGTATTAAGTGAAAAAAAAGGAAAAGCTTTTTACTTTCTTTTGTTTTAAAAATCTTTCCTTCCTCCTTCTCTTTCTTCCTTCTTTTCTTCCTCTTTTTCTCTCTTGAATAATTAAGTTCTACATCTGAGCAATGTCGACATCTGTATTTGGGTGGGATGGTACACAGCAGCCTGGCATGGAGTGTCAGACGCTGAGCAGAGTGGATGGAGTAAAGGGAGACTTATGTGGCCCAGTGTGAGGTGTTTGAGCCCATGTCAGGTGAAAAGGATGTCCATGTACCAAAACAGAATCAGCAACCCAGAGAAGAGTGTTGGAACCTGATCAGAGTAAGGAGGGTTCCAAATAAAGGAGCGGGGACAGTGATAGATAAGTCATTTCTTCAAAAGTGGTAAGGTTAGCATCACTAACATAGGGTATAATAAGGCATAGTTATCTTGCCTTTGGAGAAATGAGATGCAGTTAGGGAATGGGCAAATTAGAATGAGCCTAGGCTAATGATTGGATATTGGGGGTATTGGTGTGGACTCTGGTTTTATATACGTAGATGGATAGAGAAAAGAGAAAAGAAATAAATGTGTGTAATAAAGGTAGTGGTGTGTGTGTGTGTGTGTGTGTGTTCAGCCATTTCTACAAGGAGTTTCTTCTTGTCAAGAATTTTATTTAAAAAAAAATTCTAAGCTGCTTCTACCC